TTTCACAAGTTGCACTCGTAACACTTATCCACAACGATCATCTGTTGTAACAGCAGCCAACGAATCGAGTATTAGCCTTTCCAGTGTCGATTAAATCTTTCTTGTAGCGGTATTTGTTTTTTAATTATTTATTTATTTATTTCATTCTTTCTTTTCATGGAGGCCATAAGTCAACACTGTGAATCGCATTCATGTGCGCGTCTAAAGTACAAGTCTAGTCCACTCTACACATTCGTACCGCACTCATCGTATGAAGCCAGTTTCGGTCGGCTGGACTACGTTCGTGGGATATGCAAAACACAGCATGTCATACTGCTTTTGGCACCTCATTAAGGTGCAAAAGCTTTCTCAAATCTACCTATTACAAATTGCAAAACTGTCCAGGTTGCACAACACTTGTTGTGATAGCGAGGTTGTTTTTATAGACGTAAGTTTTACATCAATCAAAAGCGCACCACGTGTTTTCACTATCTACGGCTATGCGGCTGCCCCGCCGAATCGACGGCCGTTTTCGACTGAGGTTGGTCTCTCAAGTGAGTTTGGGAATTCAAATTGACGATGAGGGAAGAACAGTTAGCATCCTAGGGATGACGAACGGTATAGGCGGAGTGTACAATGAGTGACTTGTCAGAATCTTGTAGCTTATACATTTTGTGTAGGCTATAGTGGGGTATCCCATAGGGGGTACAACCCAATAAGGGTTAGTACTTGTACTCACTTCTTTCATAGTTCATTCATTCTCGTTTCAGTTTTCTCATAATATCGAGCAGGTTCCCTCGTGGGAACTGTTCCTAGGGCCCACCAAATCTCGGAAAAAAAAAAAAAAAAAAAATCCTGCCCGGAGCGCGCTCTGCCCTAGCCCGAGTCGCGCTCCCCTTTCTCGACCCCGTTGCGCCGCCCTCCGGCCCTGACGCCGCCCTTACCTGCGGCCTCGGCGCCTACCTCCTGGCCCCGCCGCCCTTACTTGCGGACGCGCCACCTACCTGCGGCCCCACCGCCCGCACGTGCGGCCCCGCCACCTACCTGCGGCCCGGCCGCCCTTACCTGTGGCCCCGCCACCTACCTGCGGTCCCGCCGCCCTTACCAGCGGCCCCGCCCTTACCTGCGGCCCCGCCGCCCTTACCTCTGGCCCCGCCGCCCTTACCTACGGCCCTGCCACCTACCTGCGGCACCGCCCCCCTTACCTGCGGCCCCGCCGCCCTTCACTCCGGCCCCGCCGCCCTTACCTGCGGCCCCGCCGCCCTTCACTCCGGCCCCACCGCCCTTACCTGCAGCCCTGCCACCCTTACCTGCGGACCTGCCGCCCTTACCTGCGGCCTCGCCGCTGTCTCCTCGCGGCCCCGCCACCACCACTACGGCGCAGGCGCCGTCGCCTGCTGCAGCGCCGCCCGCCACCCGAGCCAGCCGAGCAGCCGACCGCCGCGCCGCCCTGCAGCTGAGCCGCCGAGCCGCCCAGCAGCCGAGCAGCTGAACCGCCGAGCCGCTGGGCCGCCCTGCAGGTGACCCGCCGAGCCGCCGAGCCGCCCAGCAGCCGAGCCGCCGTGCAGCCGAGCCGCCGTGCAGCCGAGCCGCCGTGCAGCCGAGCCGCCAAATAGCCGGGCCGCCGAGCCGCCCAGCAGCCGAGCCGCCCGCACCACCGAGCCACCCGAGCAGCCCTTTCCGGTGAGAGCGGCACCTCTGTTACTGCACTGCCCTTACCCTACTATCTGTGCTGCTAGTCTACTGCTGTCATGGCTACCCCTAGTGTCCTCGCTTTTGATGCTGAGGGTCGAGCCATTGACTTTGACGTCTGGATAGATGACCTGCAGCTTTTCTTACAGTGCGATAGGGCGGACGGTCTCTCCCACTTTGACCTCACCTCTGGTGCCTCTCCTGACCCTGCTGCTGATGCTGACGCCACTGTTCGCTCACAGTGGGCCACGCGCGATGCTCCTGCACGTCTTGCTGTGCGTCGCCACCTCCCTACCTCTGAGCGTGCGCACTTTAGTCAGTACAAGAGTGCTCAGACCTTGTACGACGCTGTAGTTGCACGCTAATCCTCCCCTGCCACTGCTGCACTAAGCCGTCTCATGCTACCGTACCTCTTCCCTGACCTTGCTGCCTTTCCCACAGTTGCTGACCTCATTACGCACCTCCGCACTAATGACACTCGCTACCGTGCTGCGCTTCCTGCTGAGTTTTGCGCCAAGGACCCCCCCCCCCATGTACATCACCCTCTACTCCATAGTCACCCGGCTCCCTGACTCCCTTCGCATAGCCAGGGACCACTTCCTCGCAGTGTGCCCCACCACTCTCACCGTTGACCTCCTCGAGAAGGCCCTCCTAGCAGCGGAGAAGAGCATAGTCGTTCTAGGAGCCTCTCGTGGTGACCCTCTTACCCCTGTCTTTGAGGGGTGTTCTCCCTCCCCCATCTTGCCCTCTGTTTCTTCTGCTGCTGCGGCCGACCTCGTTGGTTTTGAGTCGGTCGGCGCAGCGTCTGCCCTAGTTGCTGAGCTCGTCGACTTCGCTGCTCGCTGTCGCCTCGACTACGCTGCCAGTCTTGTCGCTGAGTCTGAGTCTGTATGTCCTCCGTCCGTCGGGGGTGAGTGTGCCTTTGGCACGGACGTCCTTGAGGACATGCAGGAGGAGTTCTAGTGTCTGGCTGCTGCTTCACCTCATCTCGTGTCCGTATTGCTTACCCCTGAGGGAGACCCGGATGCACTTGACATCCCGACTCCGCGCTCTTACGCGGAGGCGATAGAGGGTCCCTACTTCTCTCAGTGGCAGGCAGCTATGGACACAGAGATGGCTTCCTGGAAGTCCACAGGCACCTACGTTTACGAGGTTCCCCCGCATGGGGCGAAAATCGTCAGTGGCATGTGGATCTTCAGGGTGAAGCGGCCGCCGGGTTCTCCGCCTGTCTTCAAGGCGCGTTACGTGGCTCGTGGCTTCAGTCAGGGGCAGGGAGTTGACTACTTTCAGACCTTCTCTCCCACCCCGAAGATGACCACTCTTCGGGTACTGCTGCACGTTGCTGCTCACCGTGACTACGAGCTGCACTCTCTAGACTTCAGCACTGCTTTCTTGCAGGGAAGCCTGCACGAGGAGATCTGGCTACGCCGCCCACCTGGCTTCACTGGGTCATTCCCTTCTGGTACCCAGTGGAGTCTCCGGCGTCCAGTCTACGGGTCTCCGCCAGGCGCCCCGTGAGTGGCATGACACACTGAGGACTACGCTTGCGGCTCTTGGGTTTGCTCCTTCTACTGCCGACCCGTCGCTGTTTCTACGCACCGACACTTTTCTGCCGCCGTTCTACATCCTCGTGTACGTCGACGACTTGGTCTTTGCCACAGCTGACACTACTAGACTTGCCTACGTGAAGTCCGAACTGCAGAAGAGACACACGTGCACAGACCTGGGTGAACTGTGCAGCTACCTTGGCTTGCAAATCACCCGGGACAGAGCACGCCGCACCATTACCTTGACTCAGTCACACATGGTGCAGCAGGTCCTTCAGCGCTTCGGCTTCACGTACTCCTCGCCTCAGGCCACTCCTCTGCCTACTCGCCACTCACTCTCAGCTCTGCCTTCGGATGAGTCCGTAGAGTCGAGTGGCCCGTATCCAGAGCTTGTTGGCTGCCTCATGTACCTGATGACGTGCACACGACCTGACCTTGCATACCCTCTTAGCATTCTCGCACGCTATGTTGCTCCTGGGAGACACCGACCAGAGCACATGGCTGCAGCGAAGAGGGTGTTGCGCTACTTGTGCAGTACCTCGGGCATGGGGCTAGTTCTTGGAGGGCGGAGTCCAGTGGTCCTCACTGGGCATGCGGACGCGTCTTGGGCTGACGACCAGGCTACCCAGCGGTCGTCACAGGGTTACACCTTCAGCCTTGGTTCCGGCTCTGTTTCGTGGCAGGCTACTCGCTCGTCTTCTGTTCTCGGCTCCAGTTGTGAGGCCGAGATCTACGCAGGGTCCATGGCTGCACAGGAGCTTCGCTGGCTCACCTACCTGCTGACTGACCTCGGAGAGCCGCCTCGTTCTCCTCCAGTTCTGTACGTAGACAACAAGGCCATGCTGGCCTTGTGTCGGGAGCAGAGACTGGAGCACAGAACAAAGCACATTGCTCTCCGCTACTTCTTTGCTCGTGAGCTACAGCAGCGTGGTCAGCTACGGCTTGCGTACGTGGCCTCTGAGGCCAACATTGCTGATATCTTCACCAAGGCACTTGCGCCTTGTGATCATCAGCGCTTCTGTACTCAACTGGGTCTTGTGCCTACCTTGCCTCACTTGCTCACCTCTTGACCTTGTTTATACTGTTACATATATATATGTCTGCTCTTGCTTGTCTAGCTGTATATATATGTGTACTCCTGCATGTGAACTGGCCTTGTGGCCTTGACCTTGTGCTCGGACTGTGTGGTGACTTTGAGATCCACCCTGAGCTTGCTTTGCTTTGCTTTGCTTGACTGGTCTTGTGACCCCTTGTTCTCCCCCACTTTGCCTATGGGGGTGTGTCAGAATATTGTAGCTTATACATTTTGTGTAGGCTATAGTGGGGTATCCCATAGGGGGTACAACCCAATTAGTGTTAGTACTTGTACTCACTTCTTTCATAGTTCATTCATTGTCGTTTCAGTTTTCTCATGACTCTGGTCAAGGTTTCAAAAATTTCGTTCAGTGCAGCTCCAACCTCCAATGCGTTTATTGACCTGGTTCACTTATTGTGTTCAGGCCGCCTGAAGCTTATGCCGGTCTCCCAACTCTTGCAATCCCCTCTCACCGAGGCCGCGCCTGCACCTCCTATTCTTCGCGGAAGCACTCCTGTCATTCCACAAAACGCATCTGTCGCTGTCGCTCAAGCACACGCTGGAAGGCAGTCCGCAGTCGCGGAGGCCAGCGCTGGGCAGAACTAGGGTCTCGTTTTGCTCAGCTGTGGGCAGCAGCAAGAAATAAACTCGCCCGACCCTGGAACTCTATCTTTTCGCGGTGTAGCTCTTGTTCTCCCACAAGGCTCATGCGCCGTTGTTGCGCATACCGCTGTTGTTTTGAATACTCTGTCAGAGGTCCACTGGAGATCCCCGATTGATCCTAGAGAAGGGTTACAGGCACGTTGGCCTGGGGGGTTATGGGCGCACTGACCCGCTACTTAACAAGCCCTTTTATCCTAGTGGTCTAGTGGCTGGGATTCCGACATGGTATCAGAGCGAAGGTCTCGGGTTCGAATCCCAGTGTGTGCACCTCGGGCATCTCAATGCGGGGGGGTGTCAGAGGTCCACTGGAGATCCCCGATTGATCCTAGAGAAGGGTTACAGGCACGTTGGCCTGGGGGGTTCTGGGCGCACTGACCCGCTACTTAACAAGCCCTTTTATCCCAGTGGTCTAGTGGCTCGGATTCTGACATATTCCAGTCGCTCAAGCAGGCTCTGGCTTGCAGCCCGCAGCCGAGCAAGCCAGCTATGGGCAGCACCCCACAGTTGATGCGCACATCGCTGGTCAGCAGCAGGGAAGCGGCTCGCCAAGCTACGGGCTGCAGCAAGATGTTGGCGCCGCCAGCACTGGTCAGCAGCAGGGAAGCGGCTCGCCAAGCTACGGGCTGCAGCAAGGTGTTGGCACCGCCAGCACTAGTCAGCAGCAGGGAAGCGGCTCGCCAAGCTACGGGTTGCAGCAAGGTGTTGGCGCCGCCAGCACTGGTCAGCAGCAGTGAAGCGGCTCGCCAAGCCACGGGCTGCAACAAGGTGTTGGCGCCGCCAGCACTGGCCAGCAGCAGGGAAGCGGCTCGACAAGCTACGGGCTGCAGCAAGGTGTTGGCGCCGCCAGCACAGGTCAGCAGCAGGGAAGCGGCTCGCCAAGCTACGGGCTGCAGCAAGGTGTTGGCGCCGCCACCACTGGTCAGCAGCAGGGAAGCGGCTCGCCAAGCTACGGGCTGCAGCAAGGAGTTGGCGCCGCCAGCACTGGCCAACAGCAAGGTTGCGGCTCGCCAAGCTACGGGCTGCAGCAAGGTGTTGGCGCCGCCAGCACTGGCCAGCAGCAGGGAAGCGGCTCGCCAAGCTACGGGATGCAGCAAGGTGTTGGCGCCACCAGCACTGGTCAGCAGCAGGGAAGCGGCTCGCCAAGCTACGGGTTGCAGCAAGGTGTTGGCACCGCCAGTACTGGTCAGCAGCAAGGAAGCGGCTCGCCAAGCTACGGGCTGCAGCAAGGTGTTGGCGCCGCCAGCACTGGTAAGCAGCAGGGAAGTGGCTCGCCAAGCTACGGGCTGCAGCAAGGTGTTGGCGCCGCCAGTACTGGTCAGCAGCAGGGAAGCGGCTCGCCAAGCTACGGGCTGCAGCAAGGTGTTGGCGCCGCCAGCACTGGCCAACAGCAAGTTTGCGGCTTGCCAAGCTACGGGCTGCAGCAAGGTGTTGGCGCCGCCAGCACTGACCAGCAGCAGGGAAGCGGCTCGCCAAGCTACGGGATGCAGCAAGGTGTTGGCGCCGCCAGCACTGGTCAGCAGCAGGGAAGCGGCTCGCCAAGCTACGGGCTGCAGCAAGGTGTTGGCGTCGCCAGCACTGGTCAACAGCAAGGAAGCGGCTCGCCAAGCTACGGGCTGCCGCAAGGTGTTGGCGCCGCCAGCACTGGTCAGCAGCAGGGAAGCAGCTCGCCAAGCTACGGGCTGCAGCAAGGTGTTGGCGCCGCTAGCATTGGTAAGCAGCAGGGAAGCGGCTCGTCAAGCTACGGGCTGCAGGAAGGTGTTGGCACCGCCAGCACTGGTCAGCAGCAAGGAAGCGGCTCGCCAAGCTACGGGCTGCAGCAAGGTGTTGGCGCCGCCAGCACTGGTCAGCAGCAGGGAAGCGGCTCGCCAAGCTACGGTCTACAGCAAGGTATTAATCAGCCCATTGCCAATGTGCCACCAGGCAATGCTTCAACCAGCGCAGCCATGCACCACGCCAACGCTTTCGAAGAAGTGGTGCTGGAAGAGGCGTACCACCATGTTGGAGCGAATGTACTTGTCACCAACCCCTTCGCTGATTGTGCCCCTGGCCACGCTGGTGACCTAAGGGCGTGTAACCATTTTGCATTTTGTGATTTTGGCGTACCGTCCGATTATATGGAATCGGACGGTACGTTTATAACAAAACGGACTGTCCGATTTGAATGTTTGCAACTTCGGACGGTACGAATGCAGATGTGACACTTTTTCCACATGCTAGGGTTCCGCGATGGTTTTCCCTTCGCCATCTCAAATGTACACCAGTAACGCCAGTCACAACCCATCGCAATTTTCGCCTGTTGAGTTCAGCGCTTCGGACAAACATAGGAAATTTTCAAACAAGCACAAAGGTCAATGCCGTGGCTTCTTGTATTGTAGTATGGCTAGTTGTGATTGGTCAATGTCAATTTTTGCATCCGAGTCGCATTTTTCCATGTTTTGGCGAGGCGGTCCGCTGAAATCCATTTTCGCCCGCCAATCGCGTGCGCGGACAGGCGGACAGTTTGTTTGTGATTCGGACCGTCCGTTGTCAAAGTTTCGTGTCGTTGGAAAGCGGAAAAAGTGTCATGACGGTTCGAATTTGAAGCGACGTCACACACGTCCTCGCGAAGAACTGCACGACGTTAAACGGTAATGGTAACCCTTTGCATCGACGTACGGTCCACGGTTCGTTCCGTCGAGTGCAAAATGGTTACACGCCCTAATCGTAGCATCAGATGACTATATAGCGGAGATCCGCGAGTTGAAGCGAAAATTGAAAGAGAAGGAAAACGAGAACCAGCTCCTTCGTCGGCGTTCTCCTGGATCCTCTAGCGGTGCATACGGAAATGACACCAACCGAGAGGATAGCGTCGGTCGGACCGAGCCAGCTGCCCCTGGACCATTAACGAGTGCCCGAGAGCCCCGCCAGGTAAGCCTAGCAGTGAATAGCATGCGATCATATCACCTCCAATATTCGATTCCGCTTGCATCACATGCTAGATGTTGTAAGAGCACCATGCAGTACCATGATGGTAACGACGCTTCTCCCTTGTTCACTTGCTGCCTGTTAGATCCTTTCGCAAGCAAAGATTGTCAGAACATTGTAGCTTATACATTTTGTGTAGGCTATAGTGGGGTATCCCATAGGGGGTGCAACCCAATTAGGGTTAGTACTTGTACTCACTTCTTTCATAGTTCATTCATTCTCGTTTCAGTTTTCTCAAAGATCACACCATGCGTTGCCAATCCCTTCTATTTTCCCTACACGTTGACCATGTGTTCTGTCACACATGCAGACCCCCCCTCAACATGTGGCAGGTCCGTACATGGGTTCTATGACAGTCTTGAGTCGGGCAGAGATAGCTAAACAGCTATCTGTTGCCAACAAAATTGGTTTGCAGTTCACGATGCACTATGTGGCACCACAGGACCAAGACTGGACCTGCACAGTGGACCGTGCAATGAAGGCCATCCCAAACGTCAGAACTGGACTTCGTGTAAGTCTAAACCTAAGCTCAAATAAAACTGCCTATTCCATGTGGTATGTCACCATTGCTGCTTGTATGTGTTGCTTGGAAGTGCTGCTTGCTAGTGTTGCTTGCACCTGCTGCTTGCACATGCTGCTTGCAAGTGCTTCTTGCATGTGCTTCTTGCAAGAAGTGCTTGCATGTGCTGCTTGCATGTGCTGCTTGCACGTGTTGCTTGCATGTGCTGCTTGCACGTGTTGCTTGCATGTGCTGCTTGCACGTGTTGCTTGCATGTGCTGCTTGCACGTGTTGCTTGCATGTGCTGCTTGCACGTGTTTCTTGCATGTGCTGCTTGCACGTGTTGCTTGCATGTGCTGCTTGCACGTGCTGCTTGCATGTGCTGCTTGCACGTGTTTCTTGCATGTGCTGCTTGCACGTGTTGCTTGCATGTGCTGCTACCACGTGCTGCTTGCACGTGGTGCGTGCAGGTTCTGCTTGCACTGGCTGCTTGCCAGTGCATATTGCATGTGCCGCTAGCATGTGCTTCTCGCATGTGCTGTCTGCATGTGCTTCTCGCATATGCTCCTCGCATGTGCTGTCTGCATGTGCGTCTTGCATGTACCGAATGTATGTGGTTCTCACATGTGCCGCGTGCATGTGCTTCTTGAATGTGCTGATTGCATGTGCTACTTGCATAAGCTGCTTGCGAGCATGTGCCTGCTCGCATTGCCCTTCCAATGCACTGCAAACCGTTTTAATTTGTTCCCCCCATGCTTGTAGTGGCTGCATTTCTCCATGCTTTGTTCTTTATGCCCCTCTCATGACATTTGATCGCAAACTTCACACCCGTAGGGAAAAATGATCCGCACCAGGGATGTAATTTTTTGGGAGAGAGCTGACGTCGACATCACCTTTTACCCAAGTAGGAGAGCATTGCTGCAGGCGATGGGTCAGGCCTTGGGCTCTACCCAGCAATGGCAGTATGATCAGCTTGAGCTGGTCTATGAACTTGACGGGCTTCGGACAAGCTACATCCGCAAGTTTTTCCAAGACTATCGCTTCAACATCCTCGCTCCTGCTCGTGTCATTGTGATCAAGGCATTCAACATTGACACCACCGTCGGTGTGCGCGAGCCCGGAGTTAACAACGGGAAGATGGAGATGTCGGCGTTTTGTGGTACCTATCGTGCAGGTATGTAAGCCAACTTGCACCATCTTCCATTTCTTCATCTGCCACCCTGTGTATTTCCACACACACTCCTACATATCCTTATCTCCCATCATCTTGCTAGTTCCTCCCGGGTTTGTGTGCTACCTCTAACTATTCATTGTTTTATCATACATCTCATAAGTCCTTATGTATTTGCTGTGCGTACGGTAATTGCAATAATTCGGTTACTCATTTTCACATCCCTATTCGTGTTCCCATGCTAACACACATACATATCCTCTGCTACCCAAAGCATAATTGTATTCATCCCCTCCTTTCCCCCCTCCCTTCAAATCCCATCTCCCACCTGGATTCATCCCTTCTTTCCCTCCCTCCCCCTTCAGATCGCACCCGCCCCTGAATTCATCCCTTCTTTCCCTCCCTCCCCTTCAGATCGCACCCCCCCCTTGGATTCATCCCTTCCCTCCCTCCCCTTCAGATCGCACCTGCCCCTGAATTCATCCCTTCTTTCCCTCCCTCCCCTTCAGATTGCACCCGCCCCTGAATTCATCCCTTCTTTCCCTCCCTCCCCTTCAGATCGCACCCCCCCCTTGGATTCATCCCTTCTTTCCCTCCGTCCCCTTCAGATCGCACCCGCCCCTTCATCCCTTCTTTCCCTCCCTCCCCTTCAGATCGCACCCGCCCCTGAATTCATCCCTTCTTTCCCTCCCTCCCCTTCAGATCGCACCCGCCCCTGAATTCATCCCTTCTTTCCCTCCCTCCCCTTCAGATCGCACCCGCCCCTTCATCCCTTCTTTCCCTCCCTCCCCTTCAGATCGCACCCGCTCCTGAATTCATCCCTTCTTTCCCTCCCTCCCCTTCAGATCACACCTGCCCCTGAATTCATCCCTTCTTTCCCTCCCTCCCCTTCAGATCGCACCCCCCCTTGGATTCATCCCTTCTTTCCCTCCCTCCCCTTCAGATCGCACCCTCATCCCTTCTTTCCCTCCCTCACCTTCAGATCACACCCGGCCCCTGGATTCATCTCCTCCTTTCCCCCCTCCCCTTCAGATCTCACCCCCCCCGGGATCATCCCCTCCTTTTCTCCATCGCCTACAGATCGCAAGCCCTCCCCTCCCCCAACTGAATTCATCCCCTCCGTTTTTATTCTCCAGCATACGCCCTCTATTCTAACACCGCTCATGCTCCTCCCATCACAGGTGTCGCAACACTCCCATAGACGATCTGTCCATCAAATGCTTTTATATGCACTTTTCATTACAAATCCCTCACCCTAAACCAGACGCGACATCACATGGTTTGATGACATGGGGCAGGAACAAAGATGGCGTGCCTTTCTCTACCGACCTTTTCATTCGAGCCATCACCGCTTCGTTCCTGCGAGAGGGTCATCATTCTGAATCTGAACCTTATCGCGTACTGGTTAATGGGGGTAAGTTCCCCTTTGTTTTGTAGTTCATGCTCTTTTGTAATGTTTTTTTGTTATTGAACAGAGAGGTTTCTGATTTTAAACATTTATTTTGAGCAGGTGGAATTTAAGCTCAGGTTTGAGAAGGATCTACCCAAAAGCCATAATGATAATGGCGATGAAGTTGCAATCTATCATTCCCAAGTGAGAAACTGGGCTCGTGCTGCCATTCACGCAAGGACAGTAGCAACAGGGCCAATTTGGAAGCCCACTGTGAGCGAACAGTGCTGTCAGCAGTAGCAGGCGGGGCAGGAGAGACACCAGAGGTGAGATCGAACAGGGAGAGTCTATCTGCCCTATCGCACTGTAAGAACAGCTGGAGGTCATCGACCCAGACCTCAAAGTCAACAGCACGACCCTCAGTCTCAAAGGTAAGGACACTGGGGGTAGCCATGACTGTAGTGGCATAGCAGGGAGTGAGCTCATCAGTCCAAGGGAGTAGGGCCGGGGCGTGCCAGTAGGAACAGTAGTGGCTCGACGGCTAGGCGGCTCGGCGGCTCGGCTGCTGGGCGGCACGGCGGCTCTGCGGCTCGACGGCTCAGCGGCTCGGCGGTTCGGCTCTTGGGCGGCTCGGCTGCTCGGCGGCTCGGCGGCTCGGTCGCTGGGCAGCGCGGCGGCTCGGCGGCTCGGCTGCTGGGCGGCTCGGCGGCTCGGCTGTCGGGCGCCTCGGCTGCTGGGCGGCTGGCGGCGTGGTGGCTCGGCTGCTCAGCTGCTGGGCGGCTCAGCGGTGAAGGGGCCGGTAGAGGCGATGACGGGGCCGCGAAGAGCGGCGACGGGGCCGCTAGGGGTTGGAAGGTGCGCGCAAACGTCCCCCAATATCCATTTTGCGCTCTCAATACTGCTTAGGAAACGATATCGCTGATCTCTGGTTCGGCAGTCCTTCTCCTTCCCGTGGAAAGGATTGGCTCGCTGATCTCAGGTTCGGGAACCCCGAGGTGACTTTTGAGCCGAATTAGAAGTCTCCGTTAAGTGCAAAAGATCGCCTCGCTAATCTCAGGTTCGGTAATCCCGGCAATGTACGGTGCAATCTACCAACAAACACTGTGCGATATTGCACCCAAAATCAGGAGAAGAGGAGCGTGTCGTCCGCAAATGGCGGGAGGGAGGGAGGGTGGGAAAGAGCGAAGGAGGGTTTGCGGGTCGCGGCGTACTAGAGGAGCGACGATGAAATCAAAGCCTC